TACTCTGTTATTTTCTACATTTTGGAGTTTCTAATGTACTGAGGTTTATTTAGTCTTGTTATAATCCATTTCTTAGAGATTCAGTAGAGCCCATTATAACATGTTTTGTTATAATGTGGTTTTGGTTACCTAAAAAATCCCAAATATGTGCACCCTCTTCGTTAGTGTTTCAAAATGATGGCCGACACATAAACAAGCCAAAATGGCGGACTTCTGGGGCATCAGGTTGCTGCTAATATCACTTCACAGGAATGTCACTTCCTATGCATCACTTTCTGCATCTGGTACTTTCTGATGCACTGGCAAGTCAGCCATTTTGGCTTTCTGTGTGCCGGCTGGCATTTTTGTGTGCCAATGGGTCCAGCTGTCTTTCTGCCCACATGCACAGTAAATGTGTAAGCACTGTCCGGCACGTGGGCCCTGTTATTGCACAGGTTGAGATTTTATGCACTCCTAAACTTCTGTTTTCTTAGGGGCTTCGAAGTTCCACCTCCCTTGCCTTTGCTATTTCAAAGAAATGTGAGTGTTTCTGGTCTATATTCATCTCCCAATCCAAATTCAAATTAAATGGCTTCTCATCACCATATTTATGAGGTGCCCATGGTGCGGATTAGCTGTTGCGTTTGTCGATGCAACAGCATTCACTTTTCATTTCTGTTTGATTATATTTTGTGAAGCGCTTTGAGCCATTTATTTTCAAGTGAGAGACAAGTTCTTATATGCCTTCGACAAATAATAGTTGGCTGTCAGTGCTCCGAGACGCTACCCTGCAACTATAACTTGTTGTTGTAGTGTTCTGAAAGCCTGTCCTGTGTGAAGGGTGCTACATAAATGCAAGTTGTTGTAATTTTATCAGCACATGAGGAGATGATTATTTTAGGTGGGAGTTGACAGAAAGAATCTGGTTGGCAGAATCACGCCATTCAAATGTACGAAATCAATCTAGCTGGAAAAAACAGTCAATGAATTCTCTAGATAAAAGGTTTTGTGTGCATTACAGGGCTTTCATATATTAGGTGAAGTAAGCCAGTGCTTAGCAACAGAGACTGCTAATGGTTATTGTTGGACTTCACATTGCAAAAGCCAAGCATTCAAAATAATGACTGTTGTAGATGTATTAAAGCACCACTGTAAAACGATATAAATAACAGACTCACTGTCCGGCCACCAAAAAATACCAACGGTAATTTATTTGGAACAGCCACAAGTCTAGTTGTGCTGTGTGATGCATAATATAGAAATATTCTTAAAATGTGTCTTGTTTATATAACTGATCATTCCAGGCAATGTGAATGTATCACTGTTCTGTGCAAAATTGCTTTTGATAATTAAGATTGTGAAAAAAATATTTTATCATAGCAACTTTGCACTGGGGTGTTGAGTTGAAGGGTATGTTTAAGTTACTCACAGTTGATTTCCCCACAGACTAATCCACTTTCCTTTGGCAAAATCATTTTGTTCATGTCTGATAGAATAAGATAGATTCTTCAGTCTGGATAACATTTATTGCAATTAGATTTCTCGGAAATTTCAACTTAACAGTTTGCAATAGGGGTTCAGTGGAAATGTACCCTCTCAGCATCAGGAAGATATATATATACATACATACTAGCTGGATACGGTTGCAAACAAAGGATCCCATGTGGAATGTAGATTGACACACAGACAGACAATATTTCATCTTATCCATACTAATCTGGGAGGACTCCTGTGGGAGGACTCATTTTTGCAGTACTGTTCTTTGAGTGGACAACTCATTTTGGCGTGCTGTTGCAGTCCTTTCAGCATTAAAGTGCAGCTGTGCTGTTCTTTGTTGTTCAGTTTCATTTAAGGGGCCTTCTCTCTTTGTCTAGCGTTTTTACTTATTCTTGAAAGGTTTGATTTTCGCTTAGGCATCTTTATAATAGTAAATATAAATGTGTAATTTATATTTACTATTATAAAGTTTGACTGTGAGGTTCTCCCGACGTGAAAGGCGCTTTAAAAACGTAATTTTGTTGTTTCCGTGGCTCAGCTTCGTCTGTGTTCTTTGTTTTGTTCCCGCTGCCGCTTGGCTACGTGCGTGCTCTGTGACACAGGATGCCACAGCTCCATGGTCAGCCAGTGCAGCCACCAGGTGTAACTGCAGTGCATATGCACATATGTTCGTGCTCTGTGACTCATGATGACACAGCGTTATTTTGACTCGGCGACCACAAGATTTAACTGCAGCGAAAAATGCAAAACTGAAATCATTTTAGGTCATAACTCATGAACGATAGGAGATACCCGAAAACAAATATGCCCATGTCACTCCCGGTTACAAGACCTTTCCAATGAGGTATACATCATGTATCTACGTGGGTTCTGACAAAGGCTCGTGGACCTGAAACTTTGACTCACTTTCCTTTCTCCATAGATGCTGCCTGACCTGCTGAGTGTCCCCAGTGACTTCTGTTTATGTTTCAGACATTGTTGTTTTATTAGTATAGATATTTACAAGGTGACCAAAAAGTGTGATATCTACCCTATTATCTAAAAGAAAATCATAATTTCTTTAAGACTTATTAGACATTGTAATGGTATCATGACATTTTAGTCACACTGTATATATATCTTTAAAGTATAACATGTATATACAATCAGGAAAGTATATTTCAACGACGTGATAAGGCACTATATCAAATGCAAGGATGATTATTATTATAAAGGGTCCTGATTTTGTTTAATGAACGATGAGTCAATTTGACAGAAGAAAAGGATTCATTATCTGAGTGGGTGGAAGATGAGAGTCTGCTGGTTGTATGCAGCCTTTGATATCTGGGTTCTTGTTTATGCTGAACACTTAATAATAATAATAATAATCCTTGCATTTGATATAGCACTTTTCACATCTTCTAGACGTCCCAAAGCGCTTCACAGAATATACTGTAGAGTGAATTGACTGTATATTTGTGGGCGAACACGGCAGCCAATTGCGCACAGCAATGTCCCACAAACAGTCATGGATTGAAAATAACCAATTATTTTGTTTTGGAAGGATTATTATTAGGCTCTGTGTGGAGTAAGGAAACTGCCCAAGGTTTCGCCCTCTGCCTGGAATTGAACTCAGGTCTCTCACTTGCAAAGCGAGTGCTCTAACTACTGAGCTGCAGGACTCCACTTACCCTAATTTTGAGCGGCAAATAGCATTAAAATTAATGATTAATTCCTGCTAAAATCAGAAGAAATAATCCTTTCATTTAGTATAGTACCTTCCACATTGGGAGGATATTTTGAAGCGCTTCGCAGGATTTACTGTAAAAGTGTAGTGACTGTATACTTTGTAGGTGAAAGTGATCGTCCATTTGCGCACAGCTGTGTCTCACAAACAGCCATGAAGTGAATGACTGATTTTTTAATTTTGGGGATTGTTGGCCAGGACATGGGGTCTCGCCTTCTCTTTTTAAGTAGTGCCACGGGATCTTTTAGTATCCACACAAACAGATAAACTGGACCTCGTTTGACTTACTGTCAAAGGACAGTAAGTCCAACCATATGACACATCCTCAGCACTGCATTGGAGTGTCAACCTGGACTACATGAGTTCAAAAGCTCAATGTGGGGTTTCAATGCACAACCTTCTGACTCAGAATTAACCAGATGACAACACTACAACCTGTTACCTCTTAAACAAGCATTAGTTAAGGATGACAAATCGATACATCTAGGTTACTTTACCTAGAGGCCATGCTTTATATGCAAGCTGAGGCAACGAGCATCAGCAGGGGCAATTTCTATGTGGGTCCCAAGAAAAAGCCTTGCGTTGTTACAGAAGGCGAGTGCTTATTAACAGAGATATCCTGTTTGTAGTTTTGAGTGTGCACTGAACAAATCATTTCAGCGTCTCAGAATTCAAATGGTTACACAAGGCTATTTTGATCGGTAATCATTTGTTCAACAACAACAACCTGCATGTATATAGTGCCCTTCTCAGAAATAGCCTCCTGGAGTGCTTAACAGCGGTGTGGTTTGGCTGAAAAGAGAGGGGAGGGAGTTCACATTGTAGAGCTTGTTAATGATCCTAAGTACTATAAGGATACTAATTCCAACTATGGCATATTAATCTTAGTAGCTATTGCTTCTCAGAAGTTTAGATAGCTCACTTTTACATAAAGGCCTAAGTGTTCTATTTTAAATTCTTTTTGATAATAAGCAGTGAAAACCAGAGTTAAAAGCCCTGCATTTGCTGCAATTGCAATTCAATTTGTTTTCAATATTAGAAGCCTTTGAGGAGCAGATGATGGTCAAAGCAGTGTTTATGTTCTGACTAAAACGTGAAGAGCTTCATGTACATTTGTTCCTGTTCTCTATTCCATGCTCGAAAGCTAGAAGCAAGCTGTGTTGTGCCTTCATGTGTGGGTGGGTTTGTGTGTGAGAGAGAGAAAGAGAGACAGAGAGAGGGATGTGTGACATGGAATTTTAATATCCGCTTCACCAGGCAGATGAGACTTTGGTTTAAACATCTCATCCAAAGGACGGCACTTCCGATAATGTGGCACCTTCCCAACACTGCCCTGGAATGTTAATGCAGAAACATTTCTGTTTCAGTTTGCAAGCCCCGATTACCTATTAGTTCCTCCTGACTTAGCTGCTCAGTACTGGCTGTGAATTTCACGATTAACAGTTGGTATTGTACTATATATTATCATGTGAGGGAATTGAATGGATAAGGAGAGGTGAAGCCTCATGTAGACAAACACACACACTGGAGTGATCTATTGGGCCGAATGGCTTGTTTCTGTGCTGTAACCTTGTATGCTTGTAATTCTATACAAAATCCATTATCAGGCACACAATGTATGCAAGTACTGTAATGTTCTCTTTTGTGCTGTATCAAACAACCTTAATTTCTAATTCAGCCTTTTCGATGCTTCCTTTTTGTTCAGAAGTTAAAGCCATCAGCAAAATCCATGATGACCGCTGTGATTTTAACCTTTTAGGTGTGCCTGTAGACATTGAATTGAAACAAACTCTTGCTCCTAAGTGAAGCAAGCCTTTGACAGCTTAGACATATTGTAGTAAATTCTGCACCATAATTTCTCTGTGCAAAGAAAGTACCTGTTTGGTCGATATGTTCAATATTAACAATAATAATCCTTGTATTTGATATAATGCCTTGTCATGTCGTTGAGACCTATCAAAGCGGTTCACAGAATACACTGTAAAGTGAATTGACTGTATATTTTGTGGGCAACCAGCTGTGGGTTGATTGACCAAATTATTATTTCTTTCTTGAGGGGATTAATCCCAGAAAGCTATCCACCAATTGACTAACAACAAGGTTCCTACTTACCGTAAGGTAAACAGAGGCGTGTGGAGTAAGGAAAGTTGCCCAAGGTTTCACCCTGCCTGGGAATCGAACGAAGATCCTCTCACGTGCGAGGCGAGTGCTCTAACCGATACATGACAGGACTCCATACGTTATGTTGCTGGTGAATTTAGTGAAACACTTGACGATAGTAGAGGTGAGTGAGTTGGTCATATAATTCTGCTTTCGCTATTCCATGGAAGAGAACTTCCATTTTTTCAAGCTGCATATAATAATAACTCTTATCGCTTTGAAGTGCATCACAGATTCCCTGATTCTGCATGAGAAATCAGGAAATTTCACGAGAGCCCCCATGATTAGTTCCTGAGCGACCCTCACGAATTTCCATCATACTGTACATCACAATCCTCAGCCCTTTCAGGGAGCGAGTGAATTGACATTTTGTGTCATGTTCATGTTCATTCAGCGCTCTTGAATTATTACGGATAATGCAATGACATTGCCAATTCAGATCATTAGCAGTTTGATTCGCATTATTTCTGCATCATATTTATATACAGGGCAATTACGTTAATGAACTGGCACAGATGCTCAGAATGAACGCTCAGAGGCTGTATCTCTTTATAAGAGTTTTCCATGGGATACCTACCGTGATACTTTTTCATTGAGAAACTTGCTGTTTTTGTGATTGCCGCACTTCACCAAATTAATATTGTGTTAACTGCGAATGTTCAGGGTTGACGTTTGGTTTCTCTCTTTTAAAACGGCTCAGAAAAATGGGAATCAGCTCTTAAACAGCTTGTCTGTACGCAATCAAAGCAAGCGCATTGTTAAAAATTGCACATCTCTGAACAAAATGAGAACTTGCCACTTTACAGTATATTCTGTGAAGCGCCTTGAGACGTCTCAACAACGTGATAAGGCACTATATCAAATGCAAGAATTATTATTATTATTATTAACAGTGGGAGGAATGCTCTGTGAATATTTGATCTCTTAGGGTTGGCAATGTGTATTCATTAATAGATGATGTTGATTTTCTTAGGTTATTTCTCTGTGATTCCACAATAGAGTTCGGGCAGCATCGAGTGCAGGCAGGATGTGGCAGAATATGAGACGGATTGCCATGGGGCAAGAAGTAGTTATTTTCACGAGTGTCAAAGGCAGCCTCGTGTGTGACCAAAATATTGCAGTGAAACAGAGGGAGCTTTATATCATTATTAACGTAGCACGCGCTGACGGCCTGAAACTTGTGTTAATAACCTTGTGTATCCTCGCTCTCAGCAAGCTCTGTGTGAGAGAGGAACACGAGATGAATCATGCTTATCGAGGGAGTGGCTCTTGGACATTAACAATCATTGCACTGTGCCTAAAAATGAACTCCTGCCAATACCTGGAACTCCATCACTCCAGCCCCTGAGAACTCAACTCTAACTCTCGATCCCATCAGAGTTGAGACCCTATCGGCAACTCCTTTTATGACCATGGTCTTTTTACACTCCAATACTGAAACACTATTGACAACGTGATTGTGTAAATTATAGGCATTGAAGTATTTTATTACAGTTCAGAAATGCAGGATGAATAGACAGACAGTGCACTGATAATTATACGCCGTGCAGGATTCTGAGATCCACACAGATTCACAGCTCCTTTCTAAATGGATATGAATTTGCATATCACAGGTTTTTCAATCAGCCACAATATCAGTACATTTATCAGGCAGCATAATAGGCACACTTTGCAGTTTATTAACAATTACGATGTCTATCCAGGCAATATACTCATTTGTTTTTAATTAATCTGCCACTACACAATGGAACACTTTAATCTACAGTTTTATTGCATAAAAAAGCAGTTACTACGCTTGACGGTAATCATTGTGAAGCACTTTGAGATGTTTAACATGATAAGGCCCTCTTTATAAATACAAGCTCTCTCTTCTTTCCTTCAACCGATTGAACAGCCAATGCAATAGCCAAGTGCAGTAAAGTAATAAAACTTTAATTGAACAATCACAAGTTTCTAAGCATGAAACAAAAAGCATATCACAGAGTATGTCTGTTTGTGTGTGTGTGTGTGAAAAATGTGGTACTTGATGTAATTATCTTTCCTTCTCCTGCCCTGAAAGTATCACTTTTTTGTTTTCTTTTAGCATAGGGTTCCACAAACACCTTCTGCTATCTAACTCAACTGACCATTATTAGAGTGTTGACAGGTTATTTGACCAAGGTGGCATTAACAAACAGATGGGATCTTTTCCTCACTTCAGGGTCACCCACGGACACCTTCCAGCAGGCTGTTCAGGAACCTGAGATCATTTTCCCTTCCCTACCCCCCCAACATTCTGGTTATGCAAGTCTTTGCTGTTGCCAATCTGCACCCAGGTGCTCTCTAGAATTAGGGAAGCAGGGTGCATCCCTCAAGAGAGAGAGTGCACATTCCAGATGCAGGGAAATGGCATACATATGTGGAACTCAGTCTGGTTTGAGTCTGGTGATGGGTTTCTGGGTGCGTCAAACACTTGGCTGATGGTGGGGAAAAAAGACCGCTGCTGATAACAATCAGATTTCCAAGTGAGAACTGGATTGAATTCTGCTGGGAAACCACTGTGTGGTCAAATAGCCTGTGACTGACATCTACTGTCTAGATTGATGGGTAAGGAATCACCATGTGAGATACTGCAGATCTGCTGGTATTCCTGACCATTCAGTGAGCAGTCATTGCCTTAAGAGACAGAAGGAAGACAATTTGGAGGGGTGGGCAAAGAGAACTTGTTCATAAAAAGGCTTTATCTTTATTTGTATTCAACATTTTATTGTACGATCTTCATGAAGTTAGAACAGAATCACTGCTATTGTATAAGGTGCAAAATGCTTTTCTTGAATGCCAATTTCATGGCCTTCCCGACGTGGAAGGCACTACAAACATGTGTGGTGAAGGCCGTAACTTATTTGAAGGCAAAAAATTATCAAGCATTCTTACTTAAAGCTATGACAATTTTTTCTTAGAAAGACTTTAACTTTTTCAACATAAATCTATTCAAACCGGATAGATTTTTTTTCTTGAAGACGGACTTAAACAAAGTATTAGGAACGTTTTCTTTTTGGACATAGAATAGCAAAATAACAGCAACAACTTACATTTGCAAAGCGCCTTTCACATCGGGAGGATGTTCCAAGGAGCTGGACAGTCAGGGATTTGGCCCCAAGCAGGGGGTTGGGTGGGGGTGGCGGGGTGTTGAAGGGCAGGGGTAGGAAGGTGGCTGGATGTGCAGTCTAAGAGGGTCTTGAGACGTGCTTTGAAGGAGGCGAGGGAGGGAACAAGACAGAGGGACTGGGGATGGAGGTCTAAAGGGTGGAGGCAGAGAAGCTGTCGGCCCAACCACCGTTGGCGCGGCGGGCCAGGCTGACTGGGAATGTGGAGCAGGCTGGAGCCTGCTGAGTGGAGGGAGCGAACAGAGTGATATGGGGTTAGAAGGTCACAGAGGTAGGAAGGAGCAAGGTCATGGAGGGCCTTGAAGGCGAGGAAGAGGATTTTGAACTGTATCCTCTGGATGGCAATGGGGAGCAAGTGGAGCCGGGCAAGGGTGGGGGTGATAGGATGACGGAGCCTGGTGCAGGAGAGGACATGAGCTGCAGAGTTCTGGATGATCCGCAGCTTGTGGAGGGAAGAGTTGGAAAGGCCGACAAGCAGGGAGTTGGGATAGTCAAGCCTAGATGTAATAAATGCATGAATGAGGGTTTCTGCTGCCTGAGGGGAGAGGCAGTAGCGGAGTCGGGTGATGTTGCGGAGGTCGGAGAAGGCAGAGCTGGTCATGACACAGATGTGGGATAGAAAGGACAGTTGAGGGTCAAACAAGATGCCAAGGTTTCGGTCTGGCTCAGTAAAAGCCGACGAGCACTCCAGATCTTATGAATAGTTAACAATAAACGTATACCAAGTGAAAGCTATAGAGAATACGTTCGATAAACTGTGCTGATGCAACAGCACAAAGTGAGCATGAAATAAAAAGTTTGCTTCACTTTCAAGGATTATCTTTGGAATGGCAAGTATCACAGGACTTGACCAGTTTTTGTGAACCTGCTCTCTAAATCTCACTTATCTTACCTTAGAAAAGCCAATTATTTACAATTATTTACAAGAGATATGGATTGCAGTAAACACCTATCGATCATTCTTTGAAAAATATATTATGCTGTCGATCTATATCTGGGCCATTAATAAGACATTAATTAAGCCCAAAAATGCAAATTCACTTTTCTTTGGTGATGATGTTTGGCAGGTGAACAGGAATTACAGAAAAGTTCAGACCAACCTTTTCACTCACAAATTAGGCTTGATCATAAAGAACTGATCTTGAGGCGAGCTTGCTAGAAAAACTCATTTGGTCTTGCAAAGCAGAAAACAGATGATAGCTTTCGCTCTTGGAAAACCAAGGGAACACCAATAAGGCTGTGATGCACGCGATCAAACTGAGAGGGCAACTTGATTAAAGACCGACGTCTTTCCAAAGTCACAATGACATGATGATTCACTTGTCCTCTCTGTTTCTGCAGCATTTATACGGTGAACGGAAAGTACCTAAAAGTCCTCCACTGTTAAGTTAACGGTCTGGTCCGATTTCTCGATGAGCAGCTGTCATTGTGATTTGCAGCATAAGAGTTCCTGATGACTCGGATCCAGGTTTCCTTCATTCAAGTCTTGGTCCAGAGATTTTTACATTTGATTTGACAGTGTTGCAGGGCGAGGAGTTAAATCAGGGCTCAAGTGTATCATATCAGATTGAAGGATCCTTGACTTTTTACAGCGATGGCAGATAACTGATGAGATTAGTATTTACAACGCGAGTTTAGATTCATACCGTAGCAGCAAGCTATCTCCTTGAAAGTCTTGCGCATCTCTTGACTACGAAAGGCATAAATCATTGGGTCGATGACCGAATTGCACATGATGAGGATCAAGTAAGTGTTAAAATGCGATGTGTAGCAAATACAATATGCGTTCTTTGGGCAGGATATGATGAGGATAAGGTGAAGAAAAAAGGGAGCCCAACAGATGATAAAGATCCCAAGTAGGATGGTGATGGTGATGGCCCCTTTCATGCAGGTTCTCGGGCGGACAATGCCATCAACTGGGAGTGCAGCGATCTTTTTGATGTGGAGGCGAGCAAGCATGAACATGTGGACGTACAGGGTAGTCATAAGGACAAGCATGGTAAAGAACATAGTGATGAGGCAGATTATGACCGTCTTGCTGTTCGAGTAGATAATGAAGATGATGCCACAGAAAATGCATGCAATCCAGATGACTATGATTAAAAGTAAAGCCCGTTTGACTGTCATGATGCTGTGGTAGCGCAAAGCGTAGAAGATGGTGATGTACCGGTCAATGGCAATAACCAACAGGTTGCAAATGGAGGCCACAAGGGAAATGCAGATCAATGAGTCAATAACATTGTCCATTATTTGGATGAATTGATCGTTAGCTACTAAGTAGCCGTTGTTCAACAAAGCCATCACAATTGTCTCCAAGGCATTGGATACACTTACCAGCATGTCAGCCACTGCTAAACTGCAGAGGAAAAAGTACATGGGAGAATGGAGATTTTTGTTCTTGAGTATTGCGAGGATGACCAAGATGTTTTCCAGGAGACTGATGATGCCCAGAGTCAAAAAGACTTCTGACTTAATCGGGACCTGCTCGCAGAATCCAGGATTGCTCCTGTTAAGGATACTGCTCTTGTTCAGGTCTCCTGAGCCATTCAGTTGCAAGTCAAACAAGAAGTGGGTTGAATTCATTGTGGGGAAACAAAAGATGACTTTTGCAAAGCTTGACGAGTGATTTGTTCACACTGATGCAGTTTTGCAGACAAATGACAGCAGCTTAACTTAAAAACAGCCTGCTCACAGCTACAGGCACCAAGTCATCACTCCTGAGTTGCGATTTCAAATTAGTAGCATCTTGTCAAGTCTCCTACCTGAGTCACTTCATTGCAAGGACAGTTGAAGTGCAATTATAGTGCAAATGCTTGAAGGCAACGCTTCATTCTTGACTCTGCAGATAGCCTTGGTCAGCGTGAATGGATTTCTTTCACATTACAGCAGTTTCCTCTATCATTGTGCGCAGTCTTAAGTAGCAGAGAAGCTGGAAGTTCTGTGTTGTTCTCTTTCATTCCATTCACAAGCGTGCAGAGCCTTGGCTGTGAACTGAGCTGATGGTTCGTTGCATTTATAGTCCACTGGCAGAGGGCAGCTCCGCCTTATCCCTTTGAGACTTAACTTGCTCTTTGATTGACAGTGAGACCCTACAAGTGATAACTTGATAAGCTGCTTGGTGCCCCCTTATGTTACTGCTGGGTGAGTGCAAATCTACAAATTAGAACATTATTGTACATCAGCAAATTACAACATTTAACTTCAACCGCTCAAAGTACTAGTTAAAATTACAACTGTGTACCGTTAGCTGTGAGTTAATGGTAATACAATCAATATTGATGTGCGTGATATCCTTGCAATGCATTCATATTAACAGCAGATGAGAAACATTGATTTTCAGCGAGAATGATGCAACAAGTGCTGTGTTACTAAGACAGAATAAAAATTAGAGTTTTGACTTTCCATTTATTGTTTAAAATGCCGAGTCTCAGACACCTTAAAGACTGGCTTCGGTAAGATAATAATACTGATTAGATATGATATAGCATCTTCCACATCGGGAGAGTGTCTCAATGCTCTTCACAGGATATACTGTAATATGTAGTGGCTGACTGTGTATTTTGTAGGCAAATGAAGCAGCAAATTTCTGGACAGTAATGTTCACAAACAAATTTCATTTGAGGAGTTATTCACCAGGACAAACTCCCTTCTCTTTTCGAACAACGTGATATTTAGCATGAATAGGCACCGCAGTTTAACATCTGATTCAAAAGACGGAATCTCTAAGAATGCAGCACATCCTCAACACTGCATTTGAATGTTAGCACAGACTACAGGAGCTGAAAGGTGTTTTTTTTAAAAAAAATATTAGAGGGTTCAGAAGGCAGCCAGGCCAGAGCTGGTGATGATAAAAGTGATGATAAATGTACACAAAAAGTTATTTGTGACCTATAAAAATGGCACCTCCCTCAATAAAACCCCTCATATACAGACTATTCAGGTTTAAAGTTTGCTGAGTTTTGAGTCTTACATGCAAGAAATAAGGTTGTAACATTTCTGTCCTGTTATTAAGACATGAAAATTATAATCTTGAGCACAAATGTTAATCAGTTAAGAGGAACCCAATTATAGGTACAGTATTTACCCAACTGCTCTGATGAGTGTGTGCACAAGTGCGTATGTATCTGTGTGTATGTGTGTGTGGGGGTGGTCGGTGGCTGGTAAAACTAATATGTCCTGGTCATTAAGATTTCACATCAGAATGTCTTACACAGCCCAGGTGTGAGTGAACAATTACTCATAAAACTAGGCTTTTGATTGAGGTCAATCAATCCCTAGGGTATTAAAAGAAATATTTTATGCAGCTTATTAGTGCGTGTACTTTAAATGCCAGAGTGGATAAATATTAAGGATAATGCCAAAACAAGTCTTTTAATCTTTAGCATTTATTTCAAATTTTGCTGATATTTTTCTACCCGGTGAAAAGAGCACAGGTTTTTTTCCCCACAAATCATCTCTTCCAGAATTTGTGTGTTTTTGATTTTTTTTTAAAAAAAGGTCTTCATCAATGTCAACGGGTCATGAACATCACAATGGGTTTGAGGAAACATTCAACTGCAGCTATTAGAGGTACTCAAACCTGACCCTTCAAAATCGAATAAACTTCAGCTGAATTTTCATTTTCTTCTGAGGTCATGGGATTATATCACTGAACCACAGAAGGAATGTCTGTACCTTATTCCCTTGATCTTTGTGGTTGATGGTTTATTTTAGCTGCATACATTGACTGGTTTTATCCCCCCACTTTTAAAGGGAATAAATATACCAGTAGTTATTCCAACTTTAGGTTTCCTTGTGCTTTGTATCCAGTACTTTCTGGTTGAGCTACTTATGTTACCTTTGCCTCACCCTCATGGGTCTCCTTTTCTTTCCTGAAGACCTTGACTAATTCATCTTTAAGTTTGATGTAGAGCTTTTCACATCAAGAGATTGTCATACACTCACAGGCAGAGAGAGAGCGAGACACATACACTCACAGACAGACAGAGTCACGTATACACTCAGAGAAACGCATTCACAGACAGACAGAGACACACACACTCACAGACACAGAGACATACAGACATACAGACAGAGGAAAGAGACAGACGCACTCACACAAAAGCACTCATAAACAGACATACACAGACAGAGGAGAGAGACACACAGACAATCTCAAGAGCGGGGCCTCAGGGTGAGAGAACAAGAAGCCCTGGTGCTGAAGAGACTTTATTTTTTACAGACTTTCAGTGGAGTGCGTTGTTTATAGCGGATTCTGTGAAAAAAATTGCAGCCGCAATTTTCTATTGGCCCAAGTAATGGGGTGTTGATCCAGTTTCCTTGGCTGATGATAATGGTCCTAGTTCAGAATCAGATTCAGGCTATATATTGCATTCAGTCGAAATCTAATAGTGTTATTAACACAGATGGTAACTCACACATGACTCAATTTGCCCATGTTATACCAACCCTGTTGTCCACTAATTTTGCAAGTGGTGGAACTCTGTTATCTTCATAAATGTAGTTCCAAAGCCTGAAGTAGTGTTGCTGACACCAACCTACTGTTCTTCCAGCATGTGGAAACAACACTGCCACTAAGAAGTGGACACCAATTTGTTGCATCTTATTACAGGGACCAAAAGGTTAAAAATGCAAGATTTTGTTTTCAAGCGTAAGGCTTTGCTTGTTTGCAGCTATAGCAACAATTTTAAGTTGCCTATTAATATTCCATTTCAGTCATTGACATTTGGATCATGATGCGAACATATTTTCTGTGAAGGCTTCAAGAAAAGAAACAAACTCAGTTTAGAAGAATGCTATTTTTTACATAGGAACATAGGAGTAGGCCATTCAGTCCCTCGAGCCACCAGCAACCACAGCCTTTTGGGGGTAGAGAGTTCCAGATTTCCGCTATCCTTTGTGTGAAAAAGTGCTTCCTGATTTCACTCCTAAACGGCCGAGCTCTAATATTAAGATTCTGCCCCCATGTTCCGGATTTTCCCCATCAGAGGAAATAGGTTCCTTGTATCTACACAATCGGAATCCTGTATCATTTATAATCCTTGCATTTGATAGAGCGCTTTTCACATCTTCTAGACATCCCAAAGCGCTTCACAGAATATACTGAATTGACTGTATATTTGTGGGCGAACGTGGCAGCCAATTGCACACAGCAGTGTCCCACAAACAGTCGTGGATTGAAAATGACCAATTTATTATTGTTTCGTTTTTTTGGAGGGATTATTATTAGGCTCTGTGTGGATTAAGGAAACTTGCCCAAGGTTTCGCCCTCTGCCTGGAATTGAACTCAGGTCTCTCACTTGCAAAGCGAGTGCTATAACCACTGAGCTACAAGACTCCAAACATCTCAATTAGATCACCCCTCAACCTTCTAAACTCAAAGGAATACAAGCCACATTTATGCAACTTGTCATCATAACTTTGACCCTTTAAGTCCTGGTATAAATCTGATGAATATATCTTTCCTGAAGCGCGGGGCCCAAAACTGAACTTGATCCAGATGGGGCCTGATCAAGGGAACAAGTTTATCAGGGACGCTGTACACTGAATAAATATGGTTCATGTTGGTAAGGAGCTGGGTATTTTGTGATGATCAGTTTCTGTTCCTTAAACTACATATTTAAGACCATAAGACATAGGAGCAGGAGTAGGCTATTTAGCCCCTCGAGCCTGCCCCACCATTTAATAAGATGATGGCTGATCTTCTTTAATTCAAACTACGCTGTTCGAATTCAAGATCCTCATCCTCACCTACATGGCCATTCACGGCCTTGCTCCCTCCTACCTCTCTGACCTACTATCCCCCCATGTACCTGCCCGTACCCTCCGTTCCTCTGGCTCTGGTCTGCTCCATATACCCCGCCCTAATCGCCCTACCATCGGTGGCCGGGCTTTCAGCATCTCAGCCCCGAGGCTCTGGAACTCCATTCCTCAGTGCCTTCGCCGCCTCCTCCCTTTCCTCCTTCAAGGCCGGTCTCAAGACCTTTCTCTTTGACCGAGCCTTCACCTCCCCTCTCGACTCTCTACCCCCTCCTCGCTCCCTCCCTTCCCTCCCCTCACCCTGACCATTTCCCCCCTGTTCTGGTCCCGACCCAACTGTCCAGCGCCTTGGGACATCCTCCCAACGTGAAAGGCGCTCTATAAATGCTTGTTGTTGTTGTAGTTTACTAAACCTATCCTCATAGGTCAAACCCCTCACTCCAGAACCAACCTAGTGAATCTACGCAGCACCCCCTCTTAGGCGAGTATGTCCTTTCTTAAATAAGAAGACCAAAACTGCACACAATATTCTAGGTAGGGTCTCACCAAGGCCTTATACAACTGTAACAAAACTTCCCTACTCTTGTACTCTAACCCTTTTGCAACGAACGCCAACATGGCATTATCTTTCCTAGTTGCTTGCTTTACCTACATATTAACTTTTTGTGACTGGTGTACAAGGACATCTATTTCAGTTTCTATCCACTGTGCTTTGTGTAGGTCAGTCTTTCTTTTTGAAATGGGTTAAAAAAATGCTTACTTGGAAAACTATGCTGTGCTTTAAGCACTCCTCCTACGTTATTCAGGGGCTGATTTCCAATCTG